ATGGACTTTCGTATGTTGAACCACCCTTGCATCCCTGGGATGAAGCCTACTTGATCATGGTGGATGATTGTTCTGATGTGTTCTTGGAGTCTGTTTGCCAGTATTTTATTGAGTAAAATGTTTCTTTTTTACAACATGATATTTTTATTGATTAGTTAGGAACTTCATACAATGCACCCAGATCAAACTCACTTCCCATTCCTCTCAGGTCTACTCCCCAACACTTATGGACCACCCAAAATAAAAAAAAATACACCAAATCCAATTTATATCCAAAATAATTCTTGATTCTCACTTAAACACACTCAAAAAAGACAATGTTACTTTTATCCTGTTATCTGTACATGTCTCAGACTTAAGCTTTTATAGTCAGATTAACAGCACTGTCTCAATCTGTATTGCCTCAAGGATATTCTGCTAATTCTTATCAATACTCCTTGTATTTGGTACTATGCATGTCCTCATTATGCAATGCAATGATCTTACTCTCCTAGGAAAGCAGTATGCCTCATTTTAAAAGCCTCTTATTTCTCCTTTGTTTTACTCTTTAAAAATTCTCTATAAGAGCCAAGACGATGTGTCAGCATGTAAAGACACCTTCCCCCAAATCTGATTACCTCAGTTTGATCCCTGGGACCAACATAGTTCAAGCAGAGAATTGATTCCTGAAAGCTCTTCTTTGACTTACACATTGATTAGGCATGGAACACAAACACATACATGTACATATGCACGCATGCATTCATGAACACATGCTCACACAAAAACACTAAATAAATAAGTAAATTTGTAATAAACATTTCAATAATTCCAACTTGAGTCCAGATCAAAGTTAAAGAACATGGTATAAGCACATTTCTTAATATTTTCAATTATTCTATTAATATTATATTAATAGTAATTAATAAATATTTTATTAATATTCAGTAGGAGTTAGAACTATTCTCTTTAGAACCCATCTGTGTTTCTTTAAAAATATTAGTGAATAAGAACATCTATGGAAGTAAAAAGCCAGTGTTGAAAGCTATTCTAAAACTAGATCTAATAAGGAGAAGAATAATCAAACTTGAAAGGAAATCATCCAAGGAATGAGATTTAGGGTAAATTAAGGAGAGGAAATAATGAGGGGAAAATAACCTAAGCCAGAAACATATGTAGGAAACCCAGAGAGGGTAAAGAGTTAGTATAGAAGTGAACATTGAATCTGTTATTTAGTCCAAAAAAGAGGAGGAGGAAGAAGGAGGAGGAGGAAGAGGAGGAGGAGGAGGAGG